AAAAAAAAAAAAAAAAAAAAAGAACATCACTCAGACATAGGGACAGAGTCAAGGCTTTCTCAGTTGACAAGTGACAAGAACACTGAGCATTCTGAGTGGGCCTTAGTGATGCAGAACCTGCTGACTGACTGCCAGGGCAACTCACAGAGTGCATGCGGCCTCCGTCCTGGGGGACTGAGAAGTGCTGCTCTCCACCCTGCTTGTCTGAGCCACTCCTCCTCACTACAAGGTCACTTGACTACTGGCTCTGGCCTTCACTCTGCCTCCTTCTCCCCGTGTATGACAGAAAGTGCCACCAGGCCAGGTGCGGTGGGTCGCACTTGTAATCCCAGCACTTTGGGAGGCTGAGGCGGGCAGATAACTTGAGGTCAGAAGTTTGACATCAGACTGGCCAACATGGTGAATCCTGTCTCTACTAAAAATACAAAAATTAGCTGGGTACGGTGGCATGTGTCTGTAATTCCAGTTACTAGGGAAGCTGAGGCACAAGAATCACTTGAACCTGCAAGGTAGAGGTTGCAGTGAGCCAAGATAGCACCACTGCATTCCAGACTGGGCAAGACAGTGAGATTCTGTCTCCAAAAAAAAGGGACAGTGCCACTGAAGAAAGGCAGCCTCAGTCCAAGATAACCTGTTCTCACCAGTTCGGCAGTCATCGCCAACTGCCGAGAGTCCTTGAATCCTAAGGACTACATCAGGGCCCCCAGCCCAATCTGTGAGAACAAAGAAGTAAGGTAAGGAGACAGAGCTGTTGCTCCCTGAGCATAAGAACCCAACTGAGGCCCATGATCAACCCACCAAGACCTCATCTTCTCAGTGCCTAGAGCCCCACCTGCGTTCAGTACAGAGTCCACACACACACCAAAGCCATTAGCATCCACTTCCTAAAGCACCCCTAGGAGCTTCCAGTTCCCTTGACCTCCAGTCTTCCAACCCTCAGTGCCCATCGCAGAAGGCTTCCAAGGCACTGCCCTGTATGTACTATGATGGTTCCATAATAAGTTCTGAGAGTCGACAGATGCTTGGGAAGGCCCTTACTTCTTTTCTCTTTCAGTTGTCTGAGTCAGGAGAGTAAAATCAACATCACCATCAACAACAAAAACATCATCATCAACAAAAAATCATCAACATCAGCAGCAGCAGCAGTGTTAATAAAAGCATAATAGTAACAGCAGGCATGGGAGTAGGAACAGCTGATCCGCAATGAACCCTGCAGTGACCCAAGAACTCTACATAGAGCACCTTATTTCTATAGGGTAGGACTTGCCATGCTTTATAAGCAGGAACTAAAGCACAGAGAGGTTATTGTAATTCACCTAAGATCAACAGCAACGAGCAGGCAGACCCATAACTAAAACTGAAGATTGATTGAAATCAAAAGGTGTACTCCCAGCTGGGCATGGTGACTCATACCTGTAATCCCTGCACTTTGGGAGGCGAGACAGGAAGATCACTTGAGCCCAGGAGTTCAAAACACTGCAGGACAACACGAGACTAAAACATACAAATAAATTAACTGGGCACAGTGGTGCACACCTATGGTCCCAGCTACTTGGGAGGGTGAGCCAGGAGGAACACTTAAGCCCAGAGGGTCAAAGGGGTTTGATTTTCCAGTCTTCTTATTTAAGAATGCAGGCCGGGTGCGGTGGCTCACGCCTGTAATCCCAGCACTTTGGGAGGCCAAGGCAGGTGGATCACGAGGTCAAGAGATCGAGACCATCCTGGTCAACACGGCGAAACCCCGTCTCTACTAAA